GCAGTTAAATGTTTCATACTGATTATGAAAACACGTATCAAATAACATGTTAGATTTGATAAATAAATATATAGGAAAGTATTATTCAATCACTCTCTGCACAGATGTATTTATAAAGTATCCAGCATATGTTTATTAAATATATGCATGGTATTTGTATCATCGATAATGGAAACAGCTATCCACCTTTGCAAATGCATACTTTTTCCCTGCGAAGTTCAGTGGATGTAGAGTAAACAAAACGGCTCTGATGTTGCGGTATTGAAGGTGAATCCCATACCAACATGTTTTCGTTATCTGAATACTAACAGAGGCGTTGTTTATACTGCGGCAGAGAGTATAATTTTGTGGAAGCACCAACTGATGCGGAACGAATATTGCTGTATCAAGAGAGGATGAATCTATATCAACTCTTCTATCTGCTGTTACCATTTCGTTAAATGTTTTAACGAAGCGTTAATTTCAAAAAATAAAAATATGTTATATAGATACATATGTAACTTATTAAACAAAAACGACTAGAGACCTCGGTACATTCGGGATCGAATTCATTTATTTATTCAACTAATATTTTTTTATTTTTATTTTGTTTCACTTGATTTTCATTATTTTATTTCATTGAATGTATACATTTCCTTGTTTATTTATAACATAGACCGTGTCAAATTTATTTTCATCGTGATAAAATATGTAGCATATTAACATTGAAACGACTATTTAAAACAATTCATATGTAGTAAGTCAGAAAAATATATTCTCATAATTTTTGTAAATCTATTTCGTTGTATTACAGAAGTTTTTTAAATAGTTTTGAATACAACCACTTGATTTATGTTTGAAAAATTACTCGATCCACAATTATAATTGATTTTATGTCAATTTAACTTACACAATAGTACCACAGAGATACGCAAACTACATTTAATGTATAAATGCAAATTTTTGAGTTTTCATGATTATTAGTGCACTTTTTATACAAAAAAATTGATAACAGTTAAAGGGAGGACAAAGTAAATGCGAATTTCATTTTTCCAATTACCAATTTGAAGCGCGTTGATGAAATTTCCGGGTTGTGTTATTTTGATTAACGAACAGTCGCATCGTCAAAAGCGGAAGTGATACTCACGAAGTCAGAAAATTTCCTAGGAATTTTGTGTAAGTGAGTTTCAGCTTTTAAAATAAACGTTCTTGCCCATTGTAAAACTAATTAATTATGTATGCAAAGTTTTGATGCTTGCTGCTGGGTGAATGTTTCTAAGTACTTTTCTCTCTTTTATAAATACTTTTTAATATGGCAGAATATTATATTAAGAGTGGCGAGATATTCAGTTTTGTTTCGTTTTTCATATACTTTGTTCCACTTTAAATCAGTTAATTGTATTATCGCTGTGAAATTATCTGACAAACAATTAAGGAATGCTGTTTAATACTAAAACTACCGTGCAGTTAAATTGACTTTTTGAAATTCCTCTGTAGAAACTCCAAGAATGCATCTATTGAGACTCTAATTAATTTACAATTCAGTTCGAGTATTACTAAATCTATTTCTTTAATCGTTTCTCAGAGAAACATCTGTTATGTTTTTAATGATTGCAAAACGAGGAAGTCAGGAATGGACCATTTTGACCTGTCTGATAGTTTTAGTGTTAAAGGATAAAAAACTAAAATTGAAATATTATACCAAATGTTTAGAAGAGTATAATTTTTGTATGTTAATATAATTTCAAAAAATCAATTTATAAATGTGACAAAATATCCTTTTTAGATTTTCGTAACTTCGATACAGCAGCGACGTTTATATTTCACAGAAACTATGTAAATTTGCTGTCTCATTTCCATGAATCCATTAATGAATTAATTTCCATTAAAACTCGGTAAAAACGTTTAATTTATTAGAAATTCCCCGGGGACAGCTATAATTACGCATTGGTTGTTTGATTACTTTTAATAATATTTAAACAGTTTTACTGTGGAAACGAATGGTACCAGAATAAATTACGGAGCGTACCTAATTAATTTGCAAAGCGAGTAATCATTTTCGCCAATAATATTTATTTCTGCAAGTGTAGTTGACATCAAGGATATTTTCCACGTTAAATAATCTCAATTCAAAGTAAATTTCACATTATACGTATTACAGACATAAATTGTTAAAATATGGAAAAGTGTTTAAACATGATTATTTTTTTTAAATAATGAAATTATCAGTTCATGACAGTGTCAATTTCATTCTCTATCACTAGGATCGTCATATTGAAGAGTGATTGATTTTTATTGAATTATCATGTAAATAAATATCTCATTGTTGTCCAAATGTCTTGTTATAATACTTTGGTTAATTATTAATCGTATTTATACATTGAACAACTGTAAACAATTGAAGATGTATCTATTAGTAGAAACAATTCGTCATCAACGTATAATTATTTAGAAATTTGCTGCAGAGTCGTGTCTGCAAAATAACGCAAGATCACAAAAAGTAAAAACTACAGTATAATAACTTAATTAAGAAACTTTAATTTATCACGTATGTCTTTTAGATTTTCTATCAACCACTTATTACTTTGTCAATCCAAAATGATGTAAATGAAGATGTGTTTAGAAATGCAAATGTAAACGAAATATTGCGTCAGTTGCCTCCATCGAGGAAGACAAATATTGATAAAAACAAAATAAAAAAAGAATATATCGTTGTATGGATGTTTCATCGAAAGTATTGGGAAATATTATATTTAAATGATTAAAAAGGGTGAAATAATAAAAAGATACGAAATCTGTATGGACTCATTCGGATACCTAATAGGTACTATACTGCTACTACCGAAGGAGTTTATTTCGTGAAAGTAACAGTAGTTTTATAACAGAATAGTTTTGATATAATATTTGTAATATTATTTAAGTTATTTACGTTATAATTTTATGCATTTGCACATTATAGTTATCTATGTAGCAAATATAGAAATGCTCTTACTGTACATCTACAATGTTACCAATAATCATACTTTTATCTAAATTAAAAAGTCTCCATTAAGAACAACTTAGAACATAAAATGAATTATAAATGAAAATGAATTTCCATCTATAATCCAAAATTGATTTAATGCTGCATACTGATTGTTTTACGTTGAATAATAATATTTATTTATGATATTATAATTAATTGCTTCTGAAAGAAAGTTAACACTTTCGTTACACGTTTCCTCATTTTTATTCGGTATACATATAACAGGCGTCACTGCAATGACCTAAAATTTTTGGCCAGCGTCCTACGGGTGCAATGATCCGGAGTTCAGGCTCAAAAAGACATCATCTGCTTGACTAGCCCTCGCGCAAATTTCTTCGAGTGATTCAGAACGTCTGGTAGCAGTGTCTCAATTATGTTTGCCGTTATGTAACGAGAAGGAACGAAGAAGAAATCACCGGAAAATCTTCGGAGTTGCCAATTTCTTTGCCTGCACTGATACATAGTGTGAATAGCAGAAGGTTATGTATTTTGTTATGAGTTAACATTGTTGATAGTGACTCAGTGAAAAGGTAAAACTTTCATATTGTCGAAGGTACAATACTGAATGCAGCAACAGCCATTTTAGTATTTATTTTAATAATGTATACATATTGTTTAGAAGAACGTAACACAAATAATTATTTATTTGGGGAAAGTTATAGATTTATAATATTGATGAAAAGTGAATAGTAGTGTTAAAACTTATTATCAGTGAATATTACAAGATTATGATTCATATTAACAGGGTTAACTAGCTAACTGGATGTCACTGATTATTCACATTAATGAACTATGTGTTGAAATTTAAATTAGATAATATATGACAATTATAATGCTGACAATGCAAGCAAAAGTTAAGGAAATATCACAGTACAATGAAGAATGTTATAATTACTGTTTATACAATTTTGTACATCAATAATAGTTTAATAAGAGATACATTGGTATATATAATTACATTATTTTTTACTTCTAATCGATTAAATTGATATTCGCTGTACATAATTTGTCAACAAACAGTAATTATTCGTGTCTAAATTGTAATAAATGCGAAATTTAATTGTATTTGTCTAAATACTACTGAAAGTAAACATTAATTTGTTGGACCATTTGCTTTGTAAACTCATCATGCAATCCACACACATATAATATAGTGTAGGTGTGAAGAACACAACCCTTTAAACCTGAAGGAATAAATTTAATTAACGCTGACCTTCGATCTTTCTTTTTTTCTTCATTAATCTCGTTGACCCAATAATACTTTCAAATTTTAAATAGTGATTTAAAAATGCTCTGCTCCTTTTGATGAAATTATTATACTAGAGTTATATAACAATTATATTATGAAGAAACTGTTTGAATAAATAAACTACAAATCTTTATGTAATCATAGCACATATATACATGCAACATACAAACAATAAATATTGCAATATTTCTACACTATCGTAACCCCGAGACAAATAGTATCTTTATTTCCTAATTCAAACTATATCCCATAAAACTTAGTTAACATTAGATACGGTTTCGTTTTTCATATAAATTAGTTCTACCATTCTTAGAAAAAATGGTATTCGATCACCTACAACTTACAAATTATATGTTTAAAACAAGATATTCAAGATACATATTTGCGTAACAATATCGATCAAAATCGACCCGAACATTTACCAAATAATGTTTATAAAATCCAATACGAGTCAAATAGACTCCGTTGATTTACTATTAATTCAACCAACGTATAACAAATTATAAAGAGAATTCTCTTAACTTACACAACCTGCAAAAATCCCACAGAAAGAGTTCATCCAGTTTGCCCGCTTCCAAGTGAAAATCACAAAATGTACAAACTCTGTTACGAAACAGCAATCCGATTCAACGATTATCACGATCAGATAGGTCGGCAGAATTTCGCCGGAACAGAGGTTGAATGAAACTTCTCGTTGTGTTCCTGCCGCGTGGTACAGGGAACTAATGAGAGTGGTATTAATTGCAGAAAGCGACAAGAGGGTCATAGTGAGACGCGAGGCTGGCGGGGAGTTCGGTTTGCGCATTCATGGCTCGAAACCGGTGGTGGTTTCCGCCATCGAGCCCGACACGCCGGCGGAGACCTCCGGCCTCGAAGTTGGCGACATAATAATGTCGGTGAATGGTAAAAGTGTCATGGACGCGACGCACTCGGAAGTCGTCAGGCTCGCGCACTCCGGCACCGATGTCCTTGAACTCGAAGTCGCTAGAACCTGCAACGTGTTGGCGCCTAGGGTCGCCAGGCCGGGCACGAAGGAAGGTGCTGACGAGGCGCCGCTGTGTTCCGGTTACCTTTGGAGGAAATCCACGACCTCCTCGAACAAAGACAAGTGGGTTCGAAGGTGGTTTGCTCTGCGTCGCGACAATTGCCTCTACTATTACAAGACTGACGCGGTAAGTGTCGCATCTATGTACAGTGAACATTGGATAGCTGTGACATCGAGGACCTATTCATAATTGCAACCTCGTTGTCTCTACCAGGTTCCTTGACGAGTATAGACTTCGTTTTGTCATTCTATTGCTCGCAGAACAAGAGATTTTTTAAAGTAAATTCCACAGTTAGCAGGTTAAAAATTGTACTTTGTGCTATGGTGTGTTGATCCCTTTTCCTATGATTTTTTTCCCAATTGCGTTCAGCAGATATTTTATTGTTAATAATTAATTAGAAAAAGAGGAAAACTCTACGATTATCCTATGTTTACTCAGAAGCATTATAATTAGTAAGAGAAAAATAATATTCAATTCGAACTTGGAAAAATTAAATGATTTTTATATTTGTTAAATTTTATTTGAAATCTGCACGAGTCTAACACGATATTGTAGGTCAAAGGGTTGACACAGCATAATACTCAACGACCGGAAATGAGGATATTCGCAGTTATTTTTATGGAATACACTTTTTAGTGAAATCATCGTTCCGTTCGTTTATAAAAAATTATCGATTAAACTTCATTGCAACTTACCCTGCCTTATTACAGTGAAATACGTTAAAAGCATTTGAATATCTGCATATGAGACTTCTAGAGTTAATTTTACCTCTTTACTGTTATAGTAAATTTCTATAGCAACAAAATTTCATAATACATCATATATATTCGGCATATTCCCAAAGTTTCATAATTCAGGGATTTCTAGCTTGAGGATCTTGCCCTCTCAGGAAGGCACTCTTTGTCAAAGAAAAGTCTACTAGTTACGGCTCATCCCGGTTTCATTTTTTCCCTTGAATTTCATCCGTCGAGATGACAAGTGCCTACGGACGATCGTTTATTCGACGAATGGTTCACGAGGGTGCGATCCGTTCGCAGGATTCACAGCCAGTGGGGGCAGTAATGCTGATAAAGTACGATGTGGAGCAAACGCCCGAACTGAGGTTACACAGTTTCGCGATAAAGAAGCAGGGTGCGCCGACGCTCCGGCTCGCGGCCGACACCGAAGAGGCCGCAACCCGATGGACGACCGTCATTAAGGAAGCCATAGAAAGAAATGACCAGGTACGTGACATAAGCATCTGAAAACTATCTATCCTCGCTTTCGGCCAATGTCCGACGATGGAACCGATGAAAGAATCGATCCGAATGGCGGAAAGTATTGGGTTAACGCAAAAGTTTTGGCCTTCTTTTATTATAAAACATGAAAAGACGAAAAAAGAAGAAATGTTTTTATGGGCTTAATCTATTATATAATTTATATCGGTTGCTGTTATTTATTGTATCGTTGTGAAAATGCGATTTCAAAGAGGAAAATGAACCCAGTGATACTTTTACTTGCTCTAAAAAACGTAACAATATTCACATCGCATTTGGAATGATTTAAAATAGATTACAGGGAATCGGAGAATTTTTTATTTAACAGTAAAGAAATGGAAATATTTGAATATTCATAATTAAAAATGAGATACAACTTTTAAACGTTTCTCTTGCGAGTAAGAAACAAACAGAGAGAAGCACAAAATAATAATATTAAACGTGGAAAAGCGTGTAGGTGAAATCTAGGTGTTTCGTGTAAATTAACCCCTTGACGTACAATTTAATTAAAATGACTTTCCGCATGGATACCGTTTAATTTTCTCGTGTCGCTCTAAGCACTGGTCACAGAGAAAATAAATGTATTTCACGTTATAAACATATTTTAATCAAAGGAAAAGTGTATTTTTGCATGTAGTTCTGATGTGACCCAGATTTAAAATGCAAAATAAACAAGTTTTATTGTACACTTTAACATTTAATTACCATGACGAGGCAGCTCGTTTGAATCTAAGAGGTTGAAAACATGAAGAAAGATTTATTTGTTCATTGTATTTTTAATATGAAAAATAATCTTGTTTCATATCGTGTCACCATAAATAAGTAATTGTATGGTTCTATGGAAGAATTTTTATACTAAAAAAAAATTTTTCTATTAAAAAATTCAAATTTCTTTCACATCGAATAAATGACCTTGAAACGTTCAATCTTAAGTTTTTAATGAAAAAATTCAGATTCTCTTTGTATCGAATAAATGGCCCAAATATTGGAGCGGTGTCCATAGTCATGGTTGCGCGATCATTTCTTCAAATCAATGGCCAAAAGCACACACAAATTTACACCATAGGCTCAGGCATGACGCTACTTTTATTGGCTGTAGTCGAACTCTCAACATTCAAGATATTGATCAAAGAAGCAAAAGAGGGGAGAGTTTCTTTCAACTGGGAAACTGCTGGGAGTTCCCGCATGTCGACTCTTTTGTTGATACCATAATAGGAACTGGCGAAGTTGCGATAAATTTCGAAGTACTCCGGACTCTCCATTCACGCGCGAATATCCGGGAATGCAACGAAATGCGAAAACTTGCGCGTTGTTCCGCCAATTTCGGAAAATAAGATTTACTTTAAATTCCCAGAGTTTGGTAACGTAGTTGCCACAGTTGTTTAACGCATGGAAATTCGGTCCAACGGTTGACGAGTTTTTGGAAAATCTAGACTGCGATCCAACTGGAAAAGTACTCAACATCTCGATGAAACTAATCGTTTAACACTATTTCTACGGAAGGTGTCGAAAGACGTTTTCTGGAATTTTCACTTAAAATTGTTTTCCAAGTTTAGTCGTATATTCTGAATGGACTTTTTGAATTTTTCAATAATGATTATATGTTAACTGTAGGAAATGTCCAAAATTGAGGAAAAATGACTAAAGTGAGAAAATAATTTTAAATTGAAATTTCAAAAGTCTTCTGACACCTCCGATAGAAATAATTAAATTCATACGATGAAAAGGAATTTTCTGAAACAAAATTTTATCAAATAATATTCCAATGGTAAAGGATCATTACTCGATAAAATTTGAAAAAAACGTGTTAAACAGAAAATATTGCTTATATCAATATGTTCTGTAACTTTTATTATACGACGATGCATCGCAGTGAAACAGTAAATTTAATAAAGGAGATATTTTCCTATTAGCAATTCTAACGCGTCTCTTGAATTTAAAATATTACTCTCATTTCTACCCAAGAGTTATGGAAACGTTTCTGTGTATACCGAATTAATTACAGAATTTTCTTTGAGCATTTAATATCTTAACCCTTTGAGGACAAATGTTGTGCCGCTGACATCAGACTTTCCCAGAACGGAAAGTTGCTACACTATAGTCACACCAGTGATCTTTCTACTGGAAACAATTAATAAATTACAATTACAAACATTACAAATTATTAGAACCATGAACGATAAGAACATATTAAAAGAAACCTACAACTATATAGATCTCTCCTAAATTCCAGTTGTAAAGGTAAATACGTACTGAACGTGAGTCGAACGATACCAATCGCAAAAGCTTTCGCACCTGTACGTTAGAAAAATGAAGAATTCGTTGGGTTATGGAGGTTCGACCATAAAAATGTTATTGGAGTGAAAAGGAAGGAGGAGTTCGTGCGTCGTGTACACGTTCTATCGTTTCATTGAACGTTTCCGGTGTGATTCGCAGGTAGACACCTGGCTCGAGGCGTCGTTGAGGATGCGCGAGATGCCGCCATGCGCCATTCAAAGACCTGATTGCTTTGGATACTTGAGCAAACAGCAGGAACACGCGAGGAAGACCTCGTCGCCGACCGGCTGGCCGAAACGATACTGCGTGCTGAAAGATGCAGCGCTGTATTTCTACGACGACGCGAACGCTGAGAAGGCATTCGGGGTTGCTTGTCTCCACGGGTTCAGGGTGCACAGCAGCGCGCCGACTTCCGGCGGCAGGAGGCACGCGTTCGAACTGCAACCGCCGGACCCTACCCAGAGGAGCTACATATTCGCCACTGAATCCGACATGGACAAAAAACGGTAAATTTCATACGATATTCTGACTCATTTTCCAGCGTTCCTATTGAAATTCTGCCTTTTAACGCTAGAACTATTGAGAGATTAACACTACTCCTACCGAAGGTGTTGAAAGACACCTTTGGGAAAGTATCTTTCAGTTTAATCATTTTTCTTCGATTGAATTTTGGGCATTTCCTATAGATAATTTTATAATCGTTATTGGAAAAGTCGAAAAGTCAGAATATACGACTAAAATTTGAAAATAATTTTAAAATTTCAGAAAGTGTCTTTTGACACCCTTAATAGAAACAGTGTTAACATCTAATCCTAATAGAAATTGGAGCAATAGATATTTTTTGGTTCCTTTATATATTTCTTATAGTACTGAAGTAAAACTGTTTATTTTTCAAGTCATTTCGGATATTATACGTTTGTTAGATATTAATACTTACGAAATAAAAAAACTGGAACTCATTATTTTTATGGGAGCGGTTGTTCTAGTGTTAAAAGTCGTAGTTGATCGAGATTGTTCATAATGCTAGGCGTCTAAAAGAAAATGTATACATATTTTAAATGATCATAAGTATAATATTTATTAAATAGGATTCAAGTTTTACGATATAAGTTGAAGAAAATAAGTGACAGTATTTTCAGGTATTTCAGTTCTCTGTATTGAGTACTACTGTATATGATAGACACAATCTCAAATTTTAATTGATGCTTTCAACCCATAGAAATTTAAAATTTGAATGCATTCTCTTGGGACACCCTGTAGACATTTACTTAGGCAAGAGATATTTATAGAGAATGAAAGTTTTATTCTAACCAGATTGCGAATGTTCGTGCATTCATAACCTGCGAATTATAAACTAAAGATTAATAAAGTAAAATAAGTGAAAAAAAAGTGAAATAAGACTAAGTAAAGAAAAGTAAAATGAAACAAAGTAAAATAAAGTGAAACACAACTAAGTAGGATAAAGATTTTCGTAAAGTTTCGAAGTATACATGTATAATATTAGAAATACAAGATAACCTCAAGTAAAATTATTTTCTTTACTATCAGCTGGCATGTAAAATCGCAAATTTGCATAAACATCCGCAATCTTGTCATAGCATTGAGGAAGATACCGTTGGCACCTCAGAAATTGGCGCCAGGCAATGAGACAAAGACCCCATGCCAAGTTTTCTTCCGCTAAATGCGTGGACTACTTATAACTACAGATTGTATTTCACAAATGCCAGTTAAAAGTATCTTTATTTTCTACGTTTCTTAGCTGGATGGTTTATTTGAGCCCATCGGCGGGATTCGCGCCGGAAAATGGATTAACGTTTGAACAAAAAAATTAACAGGAACAGTATTTTTTTTAGCGTGTCACTTGAACGAATGGAGTTCTTTTTAGTCTGCTCGAACATCTGGATTCCTCATTAAAAAACACACAATTTTGCCATGTACAACGTTCTTCTAGCTGCTGTAGTTTTCAAGATATTCGACCGAATATATTTCTCACCCCCAACTTTGAGGACTATTTTCATCCCTTCGATACGAATGGTTGCCGATCAAAAAACTAGGTGTCGAATCTTTTTATCAGAATTACTTTCTATCAGTTTTATTAAAACCTGCGAATGCCACTTCGGAATGTTCCCTTGTTAGTAGGAATGTATCCGAGTTCATAACTGCAATCCGGACTTTTCATCCAAATACTAACTTTTATAAAGTAATCTGCAAAAATTCAGGCTAAATATATATATACATATATATGTACATTCGATAAAGACTATTCGAAAATTGCTACTATTTGAAATAAATACTCCCCTATTGTCTCACACTGAACCGCTAATCATCGAATGGCACTGTCTATCCGCCACTTAACGATAACGTGGTTCGCTGCACCCCCGTTCTTTAATTGGTTTTAATTCATAATTACTTAAACACGAGTTCTTTTGTATTGTTCGTAGTTAACCCCTTGCCCTACGACTTATTTCTCAACTGTGATCAATCTAATTAATGTCATTAATAAAAAGAAAGAGAGAAACTCTATGTTTATATTTGTTCTGAAGTATAATACTTGATAGCAAGAGAATAATATTTCATTTGAGTTCACAAAGTTAAAATATTCGTCACGAGTCTGACACGTTATTATAGGGCAAGGAATTAACCATGTGTCGTTTCACGTTGTTCTTTTAATCTGGTATTTTAAACACGTTGACTATCGAGCGATCTATTTCATACGACTATAACTCTTCGATATAATACGATACAAAAATCGAAACAGACCTCCTGTGGCACGATGTTTTTGTAACGCGGTTACATACAAAACGATATAATAAACTTGGATGATACTCATATAGCACACATTTGTCCATCACGCTGTTCTACTTGAAATAGACAGGGAATTCTCTGTGACCAATTCATCTGATCGTACTTTTAGAACACAGAAATGTACATGTATTGTAGTTTATTCGAATCATCTATTGTAATTAATAACGGCAGTCAACGTGTCGATGCAAATTTCAATAAAATCTTGCTTAAAAATTTGATTATTTATTTTCTTGTTTATTGTGTTCTCTGTGTTTGCGAATAACACTCACGTATATAAAATTCGCAGTTCATTCAACGTAGTTTTCATTCATACAAGATCTAATAATAATTATATTTCATTTTCAGATGGCTCGCCGCCCTCGAATACTCGATTGATCGATGGATAAAGATTGGTTGACAAAGGCCGGTTCACCGCACAAAGAGGCAAAGAAGTCGAAGTAGCGAGGACACATTGCGGTGTCCTTCGCCTCTTCCCGTTTCCGGTTCCTAACGAACATTGTCGCAAATCACAAACTCGCCCACCATCGTCATCGTCGTCTCGATTGTCGCGCGAAAGTTCATCATGTGGATCATGTCGCAAATACTCGTCAAATTCGCGATTCTCCGGAAGCCCAAGCATTATTATTAACCAGTTAGCCGTTTTCGACGAGTATACACGTCATGAAAGAATGGCAAGGTTTTATGTTACGACGAGTATACTCGCCATGAAGATATTGCAGTGTTTTGTGTTATGACGAGTATATTCGTCGTGATGAAATTACAAGGTTTTATGTTACGGCGAGTATACTCGTCAACAACAGGTATAACTTACTTTTCGCGACACATTTTAGGTACACACTTTTCAAAGTGGTCGCAACAGCTAACTGGTTAAACATTCGTTTCTACGGATTTTAATCAGATCCTTCTGAAGATCACAACAGGAACACCGATCTTTTTCATATACGCTGTCTCAACACACGTAAATAGAATTTACTAGTCCATACCGCGAAATTGAACGAGAACTATGTTGCACAAATTTTCGAAACCACCTGTAACAATAATTGTCGTTTAATAATAATCGAGTCCGTCGGCACCGATAACGCCAGATTACCAATTACAAACGATTTCACCCTCGAAAACGAACCAGGTACACGTCTGCTTCGATTTTGTACAGATTTTCGTCGACATGCCCCCTCTGTGCTCCCAAATTTCAATTTTTAGCTGTCGGTATTACTGATTCTCTTAAAACACGACGATCTTATTGTTACATATTATTGCAATCCCCGATTCATACATTTTGTCAGTCTAAATGTCGGTAAATACTGTTTTATGATAATTCATAGTTCTTTGTAGCGTTACATTTGTCTGACAGGGAAACATTTTCACTTTTCAAGTGGATTTAGCAAGAAATTATTTGCCCCGTAGAATTCATTGAAGATAAAACAATGAGTAGAATATTAGCTACTAATACATTGGTTGATAAGAAGAAGAAATGTATTAGGATTATGTTTCAGATATAATTTTATTAACAATGAATTCTAAATGTCATGTTTATCGTAGGTACCATTAAAGTGATTACTATGCTTAAAGAAGAGGCGATTTTCAGAAAAGAAAATGATTGATGGTATTACAGATTAGGTCACCTACTAGCAGTTAGTAACTCGCACGTAAATAAGATTTTATTATTACTGTCAAATATTTCTTGCTAAATTAATAGTCCTGTGAAATGTTTCTTTGCACAGTGAAGTAAACAAATTACAATAAATGCTTCAAGCAACGTTTCTCAAAATTGTAATTCTTTTCTGAATATTAATAGTATGCTTTCATGATGAATTTAATGAGAATTATGAAGTTTCACGTGTAGGTAATACAGAAGTACTCATTTCATTAATTTATATAATTATAGAATCAAAGAATCAACTGCAGATCACTTTCTCAAATTATTTCGTACACGTTAGTTATAAAATTTTAATTACACTACCTGATTAAATGTTTAGTAAATATGTTCTTCATTAAACCCTTAATGTACCCACCCCCTGTTCATCCTTTATGTTAATTTATTTTAATTTAATCTAATTTAAGTAATTTAATTTTTATTTAAACCATAACTGTTACATCCGAAATGAATTATGTATATAAATGTATATAAGGCAAGCCAAGGAAAATGAAACACCGGATGTAGAATAGAGAAACATATACCATGAATAAATAGGCAATATAGATTCATAAATCAACCCTGACAGAACAGTATGTAATTTGTTGTTTGAATAATGATAATGTTATAATTGTTCTTATTTAACTGCTACGTATGAAAGAAAGAAAAATTGTCAATATTTATATCAATTCTTTCTTTGTTTTTTTGTCATTTCTTTTTATGCTGAATAGTTTGAAGTACTACAATAAAAGAGTTAGTTACTCAGCATACAAAAAATTGGGAAACAAAAGAATTGAATACGATTAATCACTGATATTTAACAATTAAATAGTTGTAATGTATGTTCTCCGATTTGCTAATCCTTTCTTAAAATTCCTTTGTATTTTCACACACAAATATCATTACACCAGCCAACCTCAAGGATTTAAGTTTTAAGGTAATCATAAAATCTATCCTCCGTTTATTATTACATTGTCGTTATTCCTGTAAGAAAATTTTATGTTAATAATTCTTTTTCATTCGTTTTTTGTTTACTATTTATTGCGATTGATTTACGTGACCGACTGTTGTCCTGATCTTTACACAATTTGTACATGCATACTTTTTACTATTTTCATTGCCTTTCGTTTTTTTAGAAAATGTATTGTTTTCTTAAAATTACGTTATTACTAATTGTCACTAATTAAGTGTACTCGTCGTTATCATACGTATGTCATAAATAAATACGAACTGAGCACAATATAAAAATGATATTACCTTCACCGTTTTCTTTTTACTTTTTTTTAGTAACCGCCGATGTTTGAGAAACGATGCTTCAAGTAGTTACTGTCAATGGTAGGTCAGTCACGACTGTTAAAACTTTCGCAGCCGATAATCCTCAAATCCACCAAAACCTGGGAGGCACTATGAATCATTAAAATCTAAATACGTCATTAAAGAAACCATAAAATAAACAAACTTATTTTAAAACGTTGTAGCACTAACTGTTTTTAATTTCAATAGCTCATTGGCTAAACAGTTACCAATAAAAATGAAGGAACAAAGTTATTTTAATGAATATCATACTTTTTATTCACGCTTACAAGTATTGAACACGTATATATCAATTTTGCACTTTTCTCTGTAATTATTTTACCGAGTAAAAAATTTTACGGCTTTACATTTTGTAAATGTTTACTGAAAAAATTCATATCCTTAATTAATCACTTCGTTTCTTACCTTTTATTGGCGAATTTGTTGATTACCTCACAAGTACAGTTAAAATTGTACATACTAAGTGCTGCGTCAACATTTATAACCATTACTGAAAGAAAACGTAGTGCTGCTTCATTGAACGTAGTAATACGCCGTCGTCCGCGAAAGTGTTAACACTTCTCGCTGAAATCCTGAACCAGTGCTCGCCGTTTAGTACACCATTTGTATAGCGATTCTCGACTTTTTGGATTCGGTCTTTATATACGTGTAACAAAACATCGCATTACCTTATCGATACGCAGGAATTGAAATCTTATTCGTATTTAACGAGCGTCGAACATCAAAAAAACTGAAAAAAAAGAAACAAGAAAAAGAAACGAGAACGAGGATTATTTATTCACCGATTGTGTCTTGTATTAATTAGAAGGATTCTCACGTTCACTTACAGATATAGGACCTCGACTTAGCTTTAAGGTGGTGAAAGATCGTTCGCTGCATTTTCACGAATTTCCACGTGAGTGTTTACCGAAACAAATGATAGAGAACAGTTGAAAGAAAATCATATGGATGCTCAAGGTCATTCGCTCATTAGAAATCATTTTTACGATGTTCGTTTCAGTAGAGTAATCTTATTGCAAATCGATCGAGCAATTGTGAGCACAAGGGAAAAATTTCCAGGATAAATCGATGAGACAGGAATTGTTAATACAGCGAAGAGCAGGGAGAGGGGGAAGAGTAAAAGAAAAGGAAGCATGTAGGGGGAGAGCTGGTAATATGGACCACTTTTTTTGTTGTAGATAAAATAAATAATTTTAACTTACAGGCTACGAGAATTTTATTTTAATATTATTAAAAAATTTAACGACTCGTAACACTTATTTTATGGGTTTATGTATACCTTCATGTTATAGATAAAATAAATAATTTGAATTCACAGACTGCGAGAATTGTGTTTCAATATTACTAGAAAATGTAACAATTGGTAACTTTATGGGTTTCTGTATTGAATAGTGTCATATACTTAATCCAAGTACTCAATATTTTAATGATTAGAAATGACAAATTATTTCTTTCAACTAACACAATTTTCGAAATCATCTAATAATTTAATTACTTTTTTATTAAATTACTCTCGAA